AGGAACAATCGGGCCAGTGAGGTGGCTCAGTGGGTAAAGGTGTTTGCTGCTAAGCCTGATAACCTGGGTTTGAACCCCTAAATGCACATGGTGGAAAGAGAGAACAGGCTCTTACAAGTTGTTCTCTGACCTCAGTATGGTAACATGTGCCATGGTACACACACACCTACACACACACACACACACACACACACACACACACACACACACACACTATAACTTACATTTTATTTTTAAAAGAATAATGCTACAGCTCTTGGTCCTAGTCTACAAATATGGGAGGGAAAACAGTTTAAGTCCAGTGACTATAAAACTAGCAGTGAGCTCACCTGCCCCGATGTTCACCCTCACCCCCACCCAACGTGTGTTGTCCCTCCCATTAGCTTCCTAGGTGTGGAAGTCTGGCTTCAGGTGAGGCCCGAGAGCAACAGGTCCAGACAATTGCCTGATGGATTTCACTGTCTCCTGTTTGGTCAGATAGAACAATGCTGCAGCACCTGTCTGAGCGATGGAGACACAGAGCGAGAACATTTGTGTACCCTGTAGAAAAGCACAGATGTTCACCTTTGGACTCCCCCCTCTGTAGCATCTGTGATAATTTGTGTTGATTCTATTTGCCCACTTTCTTATTTATTCTGCTAGCATTTGTTGAGTACACATGTTCCCATCATTCTGTAATGTTCCGGGGCCAAAGAAGTTGGGGAGAAACCTCCCAGTACTAACACAGCTAGACGACTCTGGTTCATCCTTCTCTTTATATCCCGATTTGTTTAATTTTTCTTCAATTGCATATAGTTGCTATATGGCAAACATCTATTAAGCATGTGGTACCTATTTAATACTCTGAAGATTTGGGGTGGGGTTAACACTATCCTCCTTGGATGTGAGATGAAATGCAGCACAGGACACAGGCAAGTCTGCCCCAGGCCACTCATTCTGTAGCTACTTTGCTCCCCCTAAGTCTTCTGCCCCTGCTTTCTTCTCTGATGTCACATCTTTAGGGGTTTTTGCATTTAGCTCTGAAGAATCTGTTTTAATTATCCACCCAACCCTGAGACAGATGGCCTCAAGAGCACTTTGACCCTTCATCCCATAAAAGCTCCAAGCCAATATTTATCTCATGATAAAGCTCTGCCAGGTCCTGAGTCACCAGCCTGGCTGTTTCTTACAATCTTGTCTGCTACTGTTTGTCAGGGGCAGCCTTTCTGGAGACTTCTTATTCATCTGGATATGGCCAGCCCCTCTGCTGGGACACTCTGAGGCCACACAGCCTGCAACAGGGGCTTTCTCTGAGCCAGCTTGTCCCCACCTTTCCCCTGTTAGCTCAGAGGCCTTCGAGGCTCAACCACTGAAGTATCATACTAGAGTCCTTTGCTATGCTCCCACAGGATCAGTACTGGTCCTTGTTTGTCTGACTCTGGTTTGTCTTCATCAGATGAGCACAAGGTTCCTGGAGGGATAGGATCCAATGTCCAGCTTTCTCCTTGTGCCTTTGTCCCCAGCACTGCTTCTGAGACTCAAGACTCCCAGTGAATACATGCATGCTGGGGAGGGGACATACAGATGAATGTGGCAGAAGCATGTCAGCAACCAAACAGAACCCCAGTAGAGTGCTCAGGTGACAGACATTCACTACCTCACCATGCTTACCCTGCTCCTGCCTGCTCTTGGGACTGAGCCACACACATTCTCTATGAAATTACTTTACTCCAAGCCCCAGCCTCCCCCATTCAGTAGGTGCAGTTTTCACGGGCTGGGCTTGTTCATTCCAGAGGCTGAAGAGATGTCTCCGTGGTCAAGAGGGCTTGCTGCTCTTGCAGAGGGTATGTGTTTCACTCCTGGCACCCAGGTCAGGTGGCTCACAAGCTCCTGTAACTCTAGATCCTGGGGATCCTATGACATCTTCTGCCTCCCTCCAGCAGGAAGAGCACCTGTTCTCATCCATGCTGGGCAAACCCCCCCCCATCATTACCATTTGCATCATTTCATGTATCTTCTCTATAAGAGGTAGTTTGTTTCTGAAAGTAGAAAAATCTCAAGTTTGGAAGAAGAAAGATTAAGAAAAAATATGGATATTTTGTGTAAGATTTTTTAAAAATAGTGATTACAGCAGGAAAAGTCCATGGTGCCATTCAATACATTGTGGGAGAAAGAGGAAGGAGGGCAGATGGTCTCCACATTGGCTGACAGGGTCATGAGGGACTCTGAAAAGGCAGGCTCATGTCTGAATTTGCCCTATTATGATTCCTACTACCCCAATCCAACTTCATGTGTAAGGCCATGTGCTGACAGACTTGAGAGCTACCCCTGAGTCCACGTGCTTCAGGAAACTCTGAGAGCTTTTGTTCATTTTGAACTTAGAGATCATCTATGTGTGTGTATGGGGGGGGGAGAGCGGGTCTCAGCACACCCACAGAGACCAGAGACAACTTTTATGAGTCAGTGGTCTTCTTTCACTGTCTAAGTCTGGGGAATCAAACTCAGGTCTTCAGGCTTGATGGCGAGCACTTATGCCTACTAAGCCATCTTGGCGGCTTTAAATATTTTTGGGGGAGGGGCATGTTGTTGAGTATTTGTTTGTTTTTTATCTTTTGCCTCTTTTGTTTTTTGGTGGCCCACCAAATAGCCAAAAGAATAAAAACACCAACGACATTTTGGCTTACCAATGGAGTTTTTGCCTGTTGGGGAGTCCTTGGGCAGCCAGTACATTAAGTAGGAACAAAAGAAGCGAAGTAAAAATGCCCACTTTATCCAAACATCAGCACTCTAGAGCTATAGGAAGTTCCTGGTCAAGCAGTTCCTGGTCACTGCAGTTCTGGTCAAGCCCCTCTGACAAGGGCTTCAGGCTTTTAGGCTTGACTCCCTGACCCGAGAGAAGGGAGACCCAGGCAAGAACAGTGCAGAGGATCCAGGTGTATTTTAGCAGCTTAAAGTTTGCTCATGCAGTCAAAAAAAGACTAGAGAACTGGGCAGTGGTGGCGCACACCTTTAATCCCAGCACTTAGGAGGCAGAGGCAGGTGGATCTCTGTGAGTTTGAGGCCAGCCTGGTCTACAAGAGCTAGTTCCCAGACAGCTTCCAAAGACACAGAGAAAGCCTGTCTCCAAAACCAAACCAAACCAAACCAAACCAAAACACAAACAAACAAAAAGACTAGAGATATGTAGTAGAAAAGTACAGATTGGGAGGGGGGAAGCCTCCTGAAACTTGACAGGTGATATCTATCAGCAAAGGATACTGGTTGTCTTCCCAGGACTTAGCCATTATTTCTGTTTTCTCAGGGACCCCAAGAAGGGAGTGGGAGGCTTTTGGTCACTTGGTGGGTTATGGATATTTGTTATCATTTAGGAGACTATAGTATATTGATTCAAATTTAGAGTTATTTTTGTTACACTATATGTTCCTGCTCTTGTTTAAAGCTTATACCTATGCAGTTCATTTTAAAATGTAAGACAAAATTCTAGTTTTTGAAAGCTATTATAAACTAGGATGACAAAGAAACACAGGTTAGCAGTTAGTCCTTTACAACAATCAAATTTATAGATATATTAGGCATGTTTGTAAGATCATACAGATATATTTTAGATAGATAAATAGTCTTCAAACACTTCAAAGACCTATAGACTATGGCATTAAAATGTTTTGTTAACTTAGGGCTTTTCATGACAGTGAGACACATCTGCTCTTGACAGCACTAATTTACTTTATAAAAAGATGATGGGCATTGAAGAAACTCCATAGGAGTTTGCCTTCATTGTTACAAAATTAGCCATTTGGGCAAAAAACTGCTTTTGCTTTGACTGCTTGACTGTGAGCTGACATGCAGGATCCATGGAAAAGCAACTACTGATCTTTGCCAAAACCAGGTGGGACAGTCCTTCAAATTTCCTGCTTCACTGAAAAGTCTGCCAGACACTCTAGGCCTGTAGGCTGATTATGGTTGCCCTAACATTGCAGAGGAACTTTGGGTGACTGTCCAGGCAGCCAAATGTCTCTGTTGTTAGGTAATATTAATTCCTTCTAGGGTCTTTGATGGAGTTGAGTTAAAGACCAAATAATTAGGGTTTCAGTTTTTCTTAGTTATGATAAAAAGTAAGTCAGAAAACTTGGACTCACTAAGATAAGATAATGTAGTGTTTTCTCTAAAGGTGCTAAATACAAATGGACTGAATATTGTAAGTGTAATTCTTACTTGAAAACTGTTTTTGTTGTATGTAGCTTTACTATGTTAAAGTTAAAACCTTTCAATTTCACTTGGACAAAAGGGGGGAAATGTTGTAGAATGTTAATTAAAGATGTATTAAATTTTTTTATGCTGTGGAACATTTGTTTTAGTAATGCAAAGATGTGTTGCATTTGTTTAACTGTGAAGCTGTGTTACTTGACTAAAACCTTGGTTACTAAAACACCTGATTGGTCTAATAAAGAGCTAAATGGCCAATAGCAAGGCAGGAGAAAGGATAGGCAAGGCTGACAGATAGAGAGAATAAACAGAAGGAGAAAAACAAGGATTGGTAGAAAGAGAGAAGGGGCCAGCCACACAGCTACTCAGTCAGATAGTGAATAAGAAGGAAAGAAAATATATACAGAAATAGGGAAATATTTGGTTTGGGCACAGAGGCAAAAGATAGTTGGGATAATTTAAGAAAAGCTGGCTAGAAATAAGCCAAGCTAAGGCCAGACATTTATAAGTAATAATAAGATTCTGTGTGATTTATGTGAGAGCTGGATGGGGGCCCCCAAAAGAGTAAACAAAACAGGAAGACAGAGCATTCAAAATCAGCCTGGGTGGCAGAGTGAGTTCAAAGCCAGCCTGGACTACAGCATAGATTCAAGGCCAGTCTAGGCAAATCTGATAGAACCCCATTTCAAAATAAAAGGTAAAAAGAGGACTGGGGATGTTCCTCAGTGGTAGAATTTGCCTGGCTCGTGTGAAGACCTGGATTCCATGCACACTACAAAACAGTGCAAATTTCAATCTACTCTGTTTAATGTGAGTTAGGATGGTGTGAATGCTGTGCTATGTTAAAGAGCTCAAACAAAGCTGTTGGAAGAAGGAATAGAAAAAATAGAAAAGGAGCTGCTGGGGTTCTGAAGGGGAGACAGTCCCTGGACTTGTTGCTGTCACCAGTAGAGGTTCTTTTTTGGCTGCTGGATCCTGGCCAGCCCAGGAGATAACACCCCCAGGGCCTGCTCCCCTCCTTATGGGTTTCCTCTTTTTCTGTGCATACCGCTAGGGCAGTAGTTGCTGCTAGGAGCTGCTGCCACGGGCCAGGGCTATGGCCGCGGCACCCGGGGAGCGGCTGCGGGAGGAGGCTCGGTGCTCCGTGTGCCTGGACTTCCTGCAGGAACCCATAAGTGTGGATTGCGGTCACAGCTTCTGCCTGCGTTGCATCTCCGAGTTTTGCGAGAAGTCGGACAGCGCGCAGGGCGGCGTCTACGCCTGTCCCCAGTGCAGGGGTCCCTTCAGGCCCGCCAGCTTCAGGCCCAATCGGCAGCTGGCCAGTCTGGTGGACAGCGTGCGGCAACTGGGGTTGGGTATTGGACACCCGGGGACGCGTCAGTGTGCGAGGCATGGTGAGGACCTGAGCCGCTTCTGCGAGGAGGACCAGGCGATGCTGTGCTGGATTTGTGACACTAGCCCTGAGCACCAGAGCCACCGCACTGAACCGCTACAGGAGGCTGCCAGCCGCTACCAGGTGAGACTCTGTGGAAAATAGGAAGACACTGGGGCAGGCTAATCTGGGAACTGAAGGGGCAAATTCTCCAAACAGATCCAAAACGTGCGACCTAGTCTTCTAAGTAACTCCCAGGTGCTTTCCTTCCCTGGTCTCCCCTTCCTTACTAGCTCACACTCACCGAAGCTGCTTGAGGTTTTTGCCTCTAGGAACCCCAGGGCTGGGCTTCTGCTAAATCCAGTCTCTGATCACTATGGGCCTCGTGCTGCCTGTGGCTCGCCCCCTGCTGAGAGCACAGCTGCCAAGCTCTACCAAGAGGGGCTCCCTAGAGCATCCAGTCTCCGTGAGTATTATCCCCGTAACCGCAGAAGGCTGCCCACTTATCTTCCTCCAAACTTGCCGGATACGCTTTAAGTACATTTAAGTTTCCAACTTCCTGAACAGCCCTTAGCAGGGATGCCAGTGTGGCCTTCCTTCCTCTGGCACCCTGATGAAAGGAGCACTGGCGTTCTTAACATGTTTGCTGGTCTAGTCTCTCTAAAATTAAAACGGGGTATTTTCCCTCAACTCATTGGAAATCTCTCTCTTGATTTTACTGCTTGCTTCCTCTTGGTTTTGTAAGAATTCAGGCATGGGGTGTTTTTATAATCAGATTTAAAATTTATGATCCTACCAGTGTAAATTCTGAAAACGTCACACAGTTTGGCTAGCAAGACATTTCTGATACTGTTTTATATTAATATTCTGTAGGGTTTTTTCTTTTTTCTTTTTCAATCAAATGTCAAATAAACACCATCTAGGCCTCTCGTCCAATCAGCTATAACTGCCCAAGGCCCCTGCTAAGTGTGCGCAGCTCTTATCCTAACCAAACACTGATCCAGCAGAATCCGCCCTGTCACTGTTGTCCCCCGGCCTGCCACGATGTTTGTCACCTCCTTGGTGTGGCTCATGGTTTCTTGGGGCTGACAGAGCAAAATGTTCCCGTAGCAAAACAAACCCCATGTCAGTCTTGACAGGCACTACCACGAGTTCCGAGGCTGTTTCATATGCACATTCTATGGAACTCTACAGTGACCTCCTTTCCAGTGGGATTTTTTGAGTAACTTCTATGGTAGGGTTCACATATTTTCCTCCCCAAAGCTTATTTGTGTATGTGTTCTCTGTACTCAAGTATACACATGTGCCTCCTGCTGGGTCCTATTGCTGAAAGGAAATGTAGTTTTTGTTGCATCCCCTGCACTCCTTGGGTAGGGACGCTTTCTGGCAACATGTCAGTCTGAGTTTGATCCCATGTGGATGATGGAAGGATAACTGACTCCTACAAGTTGTCTCTGAGCTTCATATGTGTCTCTGGCACACACACACACACACACACACACACACACACGTACAAAAAATATGTAAGCTCTTAAGTTATAAATAAGAAATTTCATTATACTTCATTCTATCAGTAGTAGATGGCAATTCCTCTACTGCATCATAGATTTTATAAATTTACTGTAAACACCTTCTTTTCAAAATTGGCATTATATAAGATACAACGATCATCATAATTGTATTTCTAACCATTAAGTATACTACAACACCTTATATGTGTTCTATTGTTACTTTATTTTTCACCTCATGTTTTAACATTTTGTTTCACTATTGAACGAGAATTTTTTAGGCACGTCTTGGTGTCTGGCACCAGACACAGTATCTGCTGAGTTTAGTGAGCACCTATTTAGGGACTCCCTGGCTGCTCTGTTTACTTTATACCTAAGTAAACTAAAGGCCTGGGAGTTCATCTGCAGTGGTCTTGTGTGTCTTCCCAAACAGAGGATGCTCCGAGCAGCTTTGGAACTTGTGAGGAAGGAAATGGAAGAGGCTCTGATGCAGGAGACCAATGTGGGGAAGAAGACTGTCATTTGGAAGGTGAGGACAGAACTGTGGCTTCAGGGAGCTTTCAGGCCAAGGGTGTGAGACATTTTCCCATCACCTTTAACTCTCTCACACTCATGATCCAACTCCTGAGTGGCTGTCTCCTCCAGAAAGTACCACAGTGCCCTCCTAGGTCAACCTGTTCCCTTTAAATCCTGTCGATATGACCTGACTTGTAAGTAAGTAGCTTTGCTCTCTGAATCTTACTATCAAACTCACTGCTATAAGCCAGTCACCTCAATCCATGGTTCACAAACAGATCTGTGAGATGAATGACAATGAACGTTACACAACATGTGTAACAGAGTACAGCAGCCATCCCAGAAGGACGATCAGCCATCTGCAGCTGCAAATCTACCAATTTCTCTTTTGCACTCCACCCTGCCCCACCCTTTTTTTATGCGTCTCATTTGCATACCTGTGGGTCCAGTGCTTCTGCGCTTGGGATATCTCCAGATGTGGACAAATTGGAACATGCTGCTGCCACCTACTGGGCAGAGTCAGGGATGCTGCTGAATACTGTGGCAGGGCTGTTCTGACAGTGAGGCAGTAGTAGCAGTGTTATCTACAAATGTGTTGGGCTGCACTCACAGCTGTCCCAGCATGCACATAGCCAGCTCATGGGCTGTGAGCTGGACACACCTACTACAGTGTACAAGATTCTCCCCACACCTGTGACACAGGGCTGTCTGATCAGACTCTCAGTGGTATCAGACAGTGGAACTTAGAAATCATGGGCATATTATGTATGCAATGTGTTGTGTGATATCCAAGATATATTCTTAATTTTCTGCTTCTACAAATAACCTCCTCTAGTCTTTTTTGTGTATTTTTTTGGATCTTTCTCTCTTGTTTTTGTTGAAAGTATAGCCCTTCATAGACAGATTATTTCCTTCATAAGAACCTTTTCTTGTTGTTTTTGTTTTTCTACATTTTTTTCTGGGTAAGCCTCATTCCATTCTAATCACAGTGTCCAAAATGAGCGAAGTTAAACACTGATTCTCAATAATATCCAGGCTTATAAACCAAGTCATTTGCTTTTGATCTTGGCCTGCCCATGGGCCTAGGCAATTAGAGTCCCACATCCAAGACTAGGTCCTCACATCTAGACCCTTTAATGGCTATGCTAACACAGATGTGATGCTAAAATTCCTGTTAAGACAAGTAAGTGTTCCTGCATGGCTTATAGTCAGTAACATGTCCATAGGCAATAGGGAAAGTTGGGTAAATACAATCGTAAGTTCTAGAGGGTCCTTCTTCCTGTCTTGGCACTTTTAACTCCCACATGCAGAAGGATGGGATGAAGGAGGAAGGATTTCAAAAGTCTCTCCTTATGATTTCCTCTCGTGCGCCTGGTTTGACTCACTGTAATCCCACAGCCATGCTCTTGGTCTGGCTCAACAGTAGCACCCTCCCACATCAGGGAGTGTTATATGTATTTAACAGGAGCCTCGATTTTTGGAAATCAGGGCATGAAATTTGGATTTATTTGATTTTAGGAAGTGGCCATGACCATATGAATGTGGCGACTTAGAAAATGGTGAAAAGAGAGGGGATGAAAATTGGAGGGAGGTGTTGTCTTAAGAGAGGCAACTGTTAACACAGCTGGTTCAAAAAAGAAAAAAAAAATCCCCATCCTTCAGTGAAACCAAGAAATTGTAAACATTAGAAGCAGAGCAATGTGGGGAAAATTTTTCCTCTTACTCTTAGTTTGCAGCTGGTTTCCTAAACACTAATTTTACAAGAATCAAACTGAGATACAGTAACACATAACAAAATATTCCTTGGATCTCTTTAGGAGTTGTAGACATTAAAGGTGGAAACCAGGATAACAATCTGAATCTAACATGCAAGCCAGTGCCTGAGGGACACTTAGCTCTTTCTTAGCTGTACAGAAAATGTTAACCACCATCAGCATGTAGTAAAGGACATTGAGAGCCAGGGCTCAGGGGCTAAAGTGCTCATCATGAAACCACAAGGACTTGCATTTGGATGCCTAACACTCACATCAAAATTTGGATGCCTAACACTCACATCAAAATTTTGGGGTGGCAGTGCATGCCCGGAACCTTGGTGCTGGGGTTGGAGGTGCAGAGACAGGCAGAATTCCCGGGGAATGCTGACCAGCCTAGCCTAAACAGTAAGCACAGGGTTCAGGGAGAAGCCCTGCATTCAAAATGAGGTGGAGGTGGAGAACAATTGAGGGAGATACCTAAAGCAAACCTCTGGCTTTTACATATGCACTCTGGTGAACACACACACACACACACACACACACACACACACACACACGAGCACTAAAAAGAATATCTGTTCTTATTTCTTTAATCTCTCTGTTGTTTCTAGTAGATATGGTGGCTGGTAGAATAAATAGTAACTAGCATTGTGTGATGACTGGACACCATTCACAGATGAGCTGATGATCACCAACCTCCCACCCCCACACTTCTCTCCTATTTTTCATATGATGCTGAAGCTTGTATCTGGGAATGCTGGCTTTCAAATCTGTGTCTAATTGTGATCCCGGGTCCAGTAGTCTTTCTTCAGCTGTTGCTGTGTCATCCCCTTATCCCCCATACAAATGGTTCCGGCTTCTGCATGCTGTTAGAACACAGCCAAGAGTCAGTTTAAGGGAAAAGCAGAGACGACTCTAGGCATGCCCCCCCCCCAGCTCCTCTGCCCCACACTTGAAAGTAGGAGGCCCCAGTGGCATTTCACAGCATCCTCCATGGCTGAGCCTGCTGTGTCTCTACAGGAGAAAGTGGAGATGCAGAGACAGCGCTTCAGGTTGGAGTTTGAGAAACACCGGGGCTTTCTGGCCCAGGAGGAACAGCTGCAGCTGAGGCGGTTGGAAGAGGAGGAGCGAGCAACCCTGCAGAGACTACGGGACAGCAGGAACAGGCTGGCCCAACAGAACAAGGCCCTGAAGGAGCTAGCGGAAGAGCTAGAAGAGCGGAGCCAGCAGCCAGCGCTGGGGCTGCTGGAGGTGAGCCAAGCTCTGGGGGTGTAGGCAGATGTGAGGCTAAGCGACAGAGATGAGATCTTGTCATCTGGATGCCAGCACCTAGGCACGCTTGCTCTTAGTAAAAGAATGTAGAACCGATGTAGAAGACATGAGAATCTGAGGGGACCCTTAAACAATTGAGTGTTTACAAAAAGTTGTATGTTGACTGTCTTTAGATTTCACACACACACACACACACACACACACACACACACACACACACTAATATATTTCTTCTAACAGAGAAAGTGTCATCAGATATTAATGGTGTCCTTTCTTATCAATGTAGATCAAATGGTCAGCTTTGGTGTGACAGATCAAAGAATCAGACATGTATTATTCCTTTACAAAGGCATTAAGGGTAACATGTGTGTGTGTGTGTGTGTGTGTGTGTGTGTGTGTGTGTGTGTGTGTGTGTTTACCTCAAATACACCCTTCAGATAATTTGATGACTTCCCCCCAGTTCTATTTTCATTAAGTACAGGGTATAACTCTACAAAAAGATCCAATTGGCAGAATTATCAATGCAAAAATAGCTAAACTGATAAATATTGGGGGAATGGATGTAAAGTGTGTGCAGCATGATTCTGTTTCGATTGTGACGGAGTGATTTGTTGTCCAGCCTCTTGGCTGTTTAAAGCCTTTTATTCCTGTAAAGAGCAGGGGTTCGTTGTTCCCCAAAGTTTCATCTTAGGCACTAGCAACTTTCAAATATTTCTACTGATATCTTTACTGTGCCTCCACCTGACTTCAGAAAGAAGTCAGAGGCCTGACTTATCCCTGTGTGTCTTTCCTTTTCCTTTCCAGGGAGCTAGAGGAGTCTTGACCAGGTATGTTTCATTTCTGAATCAGTGTGGGGTGGCTGGTGCAGGGGAGGTGGGCCCCTGGTGACCACACTGACACCTGTGGGCTGTGCATACTTCCAGAAGCAACACTATCACAAGGCTGGAACCAGAGGCTGTTCCCTTGGAGCTGAAGACAGTGTGCCGCATCCCTGGGATGAGGGAGATGCTGAAGAAATTCCAGGGTAGGCATCCAGGTCCCCTCAGGTCCACCTGTTACAAAAAGTGAGAGACAGGGAGAGGTGAACAGGAATTAGTTTGGGTCAGAACTCAGAAAAGAAAAACTCCCAATCTCTCTCCACGCTGTCTGTAAAAGTCTCACAATGTGTTGAAAAGATAAACAAAGACTAGGGTGCGTGCCTGTGTGCATGTGTGCATGCCTGCGTGTGTGCATGCACAGACTCAGCTGTTAGATACATCTTTTCCTCTCTGGCTCCTAAGTTCTGTCCTTTTCTTATCCAAAGCATGGCTGCATTTGTACACAGACCCTTAATGCCTGTGCCAGGCTCTCAGTGCAGCCAATACTGTCACACAGTGGTAACAATCAGAGCCCACAGTACTAGAGGCAAATGTCAGCCAAGACTTATTTGAGAGCATGCTATCATGAGTGGACTGTGGGACCCAAAGCTTAACCTCTGCTTGTCATCAGGGATAAGGCCAAATAAAGCAAAAATTATCTTTTTTTTTTTCTTCTTCCCCCATTCTCTCAATAATTCCAGCACCTTTGACCACTGAAATGTGGTAGCTTCTTCCCTCTGATGGCTGACTGATGCCCCAGTGGGTTCCCCAACTAGGATTCTAACCCAGTTCCTTTTCCCAGATACAGAATCAGGCTGACAGTCCACCCCAGAGGACTGACACCCATCGCCAACAAGTATATTGTGGCCTGTAGGTTTTTGTTTTGTGTTGTTTTGGTAAGCATACAAAGTAATGGGTTTCTTTATTTTAAAAGTGATTTCTTTATTTTCTGCATGAGTTGCTCTGCCTGCACCATGTGCATACAGTTCCCTTAGAGACCAAACTAGGGTTTGATCTTTTGCAACTGGAGTTGTAGATGGTTATGGGACACAATGTGGATGCTGAGAACAAAACCCCAGATTCCCTGTACTTTTAGCCACTGACCCATCATTTTATCCCCAGCAATGGGTTTTTATGACATTTTTATATGTGTGTATTATTATACTTTGCTTTATTTGGCCCCATGACCCTCTAGGACCTCCTTGCCTCCTGTCTGTCCCTATCCCTTACCGAAATATCCCCACCCTCTTTTTCGCTTTCATGTCCTACAGCTGGATAGATGACAGATACTTCCCATTACCAATTTTAGAGCTCTAGATAGGTCTTTGACTTATTTTGAGTTGATTTTTGTGTCAGCTGGATGATAAAGGGTTAGCTTCACTCTTCTGCAGTTTCCCAGAACTGCTGCTAAAGAGACTCCTTTTTTCCAGTGCACGATTCTGGCATTTTTGTTGAGATCTATTTGGTGGTAGTTGTGTGAGTTTACATCTGGGCCCTCTCTTCTATTCCACTGTTCTACAAAGCTGCGCTGTGTTACTCTCTATCAGCCCTACACTGATCTTGTCACTATGAGATCAGGTGTCATGATGCTTCTGGCATTGCTCTTTTTGCTTAGGACTGCTTGAGTTCTCTGTGTCCCATGCACTTTTATATGAATTCTAGGATTGCTCTTCCTAGTTCTAAGATTGGCATCATAATAATCTGCAGACTATTTTAAGTGACATAATCATTTTCATAATATTAATAATAATTATTATTAATCATAATTAATGGGCAGGGAAGTCTTTCCATCTACTGGTAGTATCTTTCAACTTCTTTAAAGCAACCTCCGTGCTTTAAAGTTTTCTTTGTAGAAGCCCTTCCCCTCCTTGGATAGGTTCATTCCTGAAATTTTTGGAGGACTCTTATTATTATTATTTGTTTTATTTTGGATTTTTTGAAACTATCTTGCATGATGTTTTTCTTTCTTTCTCATTAAGGTCATTGTTTGCAGATAGAAAAGATACTGACATTGGATGTGGGTTTTTGTATCCCACTGTTTTGCTGAAGGTGTTTAACATGTCTAAGATTTTTCTGGTGAAGTCTTGAGGGTCTTTTAGATACATGATTGTACCACCTGGAAATAGGGCTAACTTAATTTCTTCAAATTCGTTCTCTTATTTCTTTATCTTGCTGTATTGCTCTGGCTAAGACTTCAAACACTACATAGTGAGGACTGTGTGTATTCTTTTCTCATCTCATCTTCTATAACCTTTGTTATGTCGAGGTATCATGAAGGGATATTCAGCATCATGAAAGTCTTTCCTCTATCTGTTGAGATGACCATGTGATTTCTTTCCTTAGGTCTATTTAAGTGCTGGTGTCTTAGTTGGGGCTATTGTTGCTGTGATCAAATTTCATGACCAAAAGCATATTGGGGAGGAAAGGGTTTATTCAGTGTATGCATCCACATCATAGTTCACCATCAAAGGAAGTCAGGACAGAAACTCAAGCAGGACAGGAACCTGGAGGCAGCAGCTGATGCAGAGGCCATGGAGGGTGCTGCTTACTGGCTTGCTCAGCCTGCTTTCTTATAGAACCCAGAACTACCATCTGGGGGATGGGCTTAACCTTCCCTTGACAACCACTAATTTAAAAAAATGCCTTACAACTAGATCATTTGGAGGCATTTTCTCAACTGAAGTTCCCTCCTTTCAAATAACTCTAGCTTGTGTCTAGTTGACATAAGATCAGCCAGCACAGCTGGGTTATTTATGGGTATGGAACCATCTTTTCATAGCTAGAATGAAACCAACATGACAATGGAATATGGCATTGTTAATGTTTTCTTAAATTTGATTTGGAAGTATTTTACTGAAATTTTCTGCTTCCATTTTCATTAAGGAAGTCTGTAGTTTTCTGTTGTGTCCTTCTCTGGGTTTGGTATTAGGGTGATACTGGCTCCATCAAATGCATTTGGTAGCATCATTTCCCTTTCTATTTATAGCACTGTTTGTGGAGTACATGTGTTAACTCATCCTAAAATGGCTGGTAGAATGGCAGAGCGGTTGATTGGACCTGGCCTGTATTTCTGATTGATCAGTTGTCGGTAGTTTCTTAGGACTTCCTTCCTCAGGGCCAATTAATCCAATTCATTGTGAGGCCTGATTACAGAATGCAGGGGAACACCACTTGGCTACTTATTGTGAAGGAGTTACAGAGGATGCAGAGGAACAGGCAGACAGAAAGAAATGAATAGGAAGCAAGGAGAGGAGGTTCAGCTTCTGTCCTCCCCATCCCTACTCTGGACTGCTCCTTCCAGGAACCTCTGTGAGATTAGCGGTCTGGAGGCCACACATATCTTTCCTTTGCACACAAAGCAATGGGTTTAACTGTGTCATTGGCAATAGAAATCCCATCGTGTACAGCAGAGTAGTGTGAGGCCCAAATCACGGCTTGTACGAGGCCCGGCTTTTCTGAATGAGAGAAATGAGAAAGTGTTTGAGGGTTCTTAGTGGTGTCCGAGTTTTTACCAGCTGGAACTGAAGCTCAGTGATACCATGCAAGGCTCTAGGGTCCATCGGCAGCATAGTAGAGTGAGTGGGGAGAGGGAGGGAAAGAGGAGGGAGAGAAGTAAGAAGGGAGAGGGAGGGAAAGGGAAGAGAGGGAGGGCGAGAGGGAAGGAGGGGTAAGGTTTTGCTAAGCCTTTCTCCTCATTCTCATGCTTGGCAAAACTCCACAGTGGATGTGAAGCTGGATCCCGCCACTGCCCACCCCAGTCTGCTCCTGACGGCCGACCTGCGCAGTGTGCAGGATGCGGAGGTCTGGAGGGATGTTCCAAGCAACCCTGAGCGCTTTGATACCTGGCCCTGCATCCTGGGCCTGCAGGGCTTCTCCTCTGGGAGACACTACTGGGAAGTCATCGTGGGGGAAAGAGCAGAGTGGGGGCTAGGAGTTTGCCAAGACTCAGTGCCGAGAAAGGGGGAAACTACACCATCTCCAGAGAACGGTGTCTGGGCCATGTGGCTGCTGAGGGGAAGCGAGTACATGGTCCTGGCTTCTCCCTCGGTGCCTGTGCTTCAAGACGAGCGACCTCGGCGCATTGGGATCTATCTGGACTACGAAGCAGGAGAACTCTCCTTCTACAACATCACGAATGGGTCTTACATCTACACGTTCAGTCATCTCTTCTCTGGTATTCTCAAGCCCTACTTTTTTGTCTGTGACACGACTCCTCTTATCTTACCACCCATGACAGAAGCAGGACCTGGAAACTGGATTCCTAGGGGTCTCCTTGATCTCGCGGCTGCTGTTAGAAGTGAGGAACATTAAAACCATCCAGAAGTGCTGTGCTTCACAGGGGTCCTGGATGGACGGGGAGCACGGCTATGCCTTGCTTCAGCGAACCACAGCAACTCCAGCTCTGCGGGCCTGTTCTGCAGAAATTCTCTCTCCCGTGGGGACTACGGAGTGGATCCAGGGTGGTTCGCATACTGAGGCACTATATGGAGTGAGTGACTTCGACAGGGCAGCAGCCTCATCAAACCCTGTTGATAGAGGTCACATTTTTCCTTGGTGCATGTTCACAGTAATAAGCTAGAATTAAATGAGATTGCCCGTTCATTCTCAACAGTCCTCATAATGGGATTTAAGAATATCAATTCTACTCGTTTCTATTTGCTTTATTTTTGAGATACAGTCTTCCTGTATAGCCAAAGCTGTCCCCAAACTCTTGCCTCAGTGTCCTGGGTGCAGGTGTGCACCACAATGCTTGGCTGAGAAATGAGATTGCTTCAAAAATAACTGGATATTATTCTAGTGAAACCCATAATTCTGAAACTTTTTTATTTTCCTTTATTGATTTCATTCTCCCTCTTTTGCTTTGTCTCATCCTGCTTAGTCTTACAGTTCCTTCTAGGTTACTATATTCAGAATCATTCCTTTATAGGTTTATATTTCCCAGTACCATAGTCGATTACTTTCTATCTTATTTTCTGGTGTTATTTATTTATTTATTTATTTATTTATTTTTGTTCTTTTGAGACAGGGTTTCTCTCTGTAACAACCCTGGCTGTCCTGGAACTAGCTTTGTAGACCAGGCTGGCCTCAAACTCACAGAGATCTGCCTGCCTCTGCCTCCCGACTGCTGGGATTAAAGGCACCACCACTGCTCCGTCTTTTCTGTCTTTCAACAAGATTTCATTTTTATGTGTATATGTGTGCAAGTCTGTGCATGTGAATGCTACATCAGTGCACGTGCCAGCAGAGGCCAGAAGAGGGCGTCAGATCATTGCAGCTGGAATTACAGGCAGTTGTGCACTGCCTCAGCATGGGTGCCAGGGACAGAACTCCACTCCTCTGGAGCAGCAAGACATTTTAACCACTGAGCCATCTTTCCAGTCCCTGTCCCCTTCATTTTGGAACCTGTTGTCAACTATTTTGAAGTTCATTACTCTAAACTCAGTATCACTGATTCCTAGACCTCCCCTTTTGTCTTTGGATTCATTGTTTATTTTAAATGCCTTTTAAAGATGTACTTATTTTATGTGTATGGGTGTTTTGCTCCCATGTATGCTTGTGTACCATGTGTGTGCAGTGCCCGAGGAGGTCAAGAGAGGGATTCAGATCTCCTTGAACTGGAGTTATGAGCAGCGGTAAGCCACCATGTGGCTTCTGGGAACCAACCCTGGAACTCTGTAAGAGTAGCAAGTGCTCTTAACTGCTGAGAAATCTCTCCAGACCCTAGTGTTGTTCCTTTGCTGCACCCATAACCAATGAAACACAACACGAGACTCAATGAGCCCACGTGGAGTTTATTGGTGGAGTGAAGAGAAAGAGGGGTAGCTGGAGAGAGAGAGGGTAGGATGTGTGGGACCCTTGCTTTAAAAAAAAAAAAGGAAACTTGTGGGTGTAACTGAGTCCCAACACAGCCCCATAATGTAGCAATGACATGCCATAGCAATGACATGGCCATGCGTGTGCCACCCATCCTCAGGGGGCGGGGTCAGTAGGACGCCAATTTCCAAAAAAAAATTTTTTTTTTAATGGAAGCCTGTGCTCTGGCATTAGTGGTGGTTAATTTTTTTAAATGGAAGCCTGTGCTCTGGCATTAATGGTGGTGCATGCCTGTCATCCTACCATCAGGGAGGAGAGGCAGGACTTTGAGGCTAGTGTGGGCTCTCTAGCAAAAATCCTACCTCAAAAAAAAATAAATAAATAAAATAAAAAGTTAGAGAATATAGCTTAGTTGTAAAGCACTTGACTATCTTGTTCAACATCCTGAATTCAGTCCTCAAAACCTAAACAGGTAGGAATTTCTCAGAAGTTTAAGTTTTTTCTTTAGAGATCTAATGACTAGGTAACTGGCTTGAAAGCTGACTTCCCATTTAAGCGCCATCACTCACAGTGAGAAATTTCCTTGGGAAGGAACAGCATGTGCTTACTCTGTGCTTGCCTTCTGCCTCTTCACCTCATGTTGGTTCTTAAGACCTCAGCAAATAATATTCCTTCTCACCCAAACTCAGCCTTTGGATACGATCCTATATGGGAAGCACTAATGACACCTTCATGGTGTAACGGAGACTTCTGAGGTTATCATCGATGAGTGGCCAGAATGTAACTCTTATTTAAATACTGTGTAAGGATGGTGATGAAAGGCTCATGATGTGTAACTTATTTTTCAAGTATATTCTAACAAAACCCTTGAAGGCCAGTGACGACTCCCTTGCTATCTCTCCTCTCTGCATGGTAAATACGTGTCAAACCAATGTCAAAGTGTCATGTTCTAGAATGCCAGCCCTATAGGAATTACTGGTAAATTCAGTCATCTTTATCTTAATAGTCTATCACAAATTTCAATTTCCTCTTCAATTTTGAAATGCAAGATGTTTTCCTTTTGCATGGTTATTTTTATGGCCCAAATTATTATATCTCATCATGTTACTGACACAGCTTTCTAGCTTTTAAAAATTAGTGTTATGCAGATAGTTCTCTGTTCCGTCTCTCATTTACAGATAGGAAATGACAAGTCTTCATATGTCCCAGTGTATAGTTCACAGACCATACAAGCCATCTTAGGGCATGACATGGGTGGAACAGAGAGGCTTTAGCCCATCAGTAGAGCCTAGATCAGTGACTGGCCTGAGGTGACATCTCCCATGGGATCTCTAACCACTCACAGGGACATAGAAACCATCTTGCTGGAACTGAGATAATGGATACATCTGAGTCCCAGGACCACACTTCCTGCCATGCAGACCTTAGTTCCTGTCTCTGTGGTGTCTCTGAGTTTCTCCATCTCACAGTGCCTCCTAGCAAGATGTCAGTCGCCAACCAAGCATGAGTCATTGAAGACTTCATCCTCTGTAGTCTAAAATTTCAGGTCTTGCATCTTCTGCTGCTTTGATCCTTCTCCTTGCCTTTCCAATCCTGAATTGTTCTCAACATCCTCTCTGGAATTCTAGTCTCGGCGTTGGCTGTAAAGCCCTCCAAATGAACACCTGTTTCCCTATCTTCCCTACCCTTCCTCCTAAACAATACATTTTTATATATAACGCTTAACTTGAACTGCACAGGCCTTTAAAATCCAGCCTGCCTAAAACTTAGCCCTAGATCCTACCACAGTACAATCTCCTTGTAATTAATAACAGAAAAAGTCTCATATCTTGTGCATGGCAGCATCTTCCCTTCAGTTGCTCAGAAAACAGCAACACCCTTACTGTGTTCTTGACCCCACTCTCCACCTCTAATCCCTCCGCTGTGGCAGTGTGCTCTGCTTTCTACAGGTCTAAGAGTCCAGCCTTGATCTCAGCTGCTGTAATCTCAGCCTGCACTGTTACCCCCTCCCCTCTGTACTACTGTACTTACCTCTCCAGTTTCCCAGCTGGCCCTTCCCTGACCATGTTCATCTTCAACGCATCCTCTCGGGCCCCAGACAATGGCGCTAACTGCACTGACCCTCTCAGTAAGGTTACAGTCTAGTGAAAACTTCACCCTTCGTGGTGAGCTCTTGGGCCCTCAAAGACCAGAACCTGATCCCTCCTCCAATTCTGTCTTCCTCCCCTACTTCCCTTTTCATTCTGCCCCATGGTGGATCTACATCAAACCAAGTACTTCCCACCACAGGACTCCTCCAAGTTGTCATTTCTGCTTATAACTCTCCTTTCCTGACACCTCTTCGTCTGTTTCCTTCTCTCTTATTAACCCACTCAAAGGCTTCTCAGTGGAGACATCCTCTTTCCACACCCCCGGGGCACACCTTCTCAGTTCCCCTTCACCGGGCTTGTGAGGCTTGCTTACCCCACATATAAATCAGTACATATCAGGTCCCAGTACACCATGCTGAACTCTTATTTATGAAGTTTTATTTTATTACTAATGTATTTGTTCTCTTGTGGTGTGATGTGAGCATCATGAAGAGAACAGGATATTTGTTAATCACAATATATTCCTAAGCATATCCCAAGATATCAAACACTGGTTGGATGTGGTTATTGCTGAATGTATATTTGTTGAATGAGTAAATGATTAACCTGGAAAGAGAGTTAAATGCTGCAACTAGAAATGCTTTACAAAATGCAATATGCAGATACTACTTATAAACAGTCAGCCAACATCCAATAAAAATTAATACCAGGTGCTAAATGTGTCAAGTCTATTTTAGATCCAGGAAAAACAATCTAATTAGAGAGATATCTTTGGAGAAGCACTGGATTCCAGTGATGGGATAATGCTGCATATCCAGGCTGCTGGAGTTTTGGGTCTCTGCAATGTCACAATGACACTATTGTGCATTGCCTCAGGATCTTGTGTCAGATGTTAACTGTAAGACCCTAATTCCAGGGTCCTGATGGGCTGATGGGAGAGACCTGCAACACAAACACCAAAACCAGGAGATGCAACAAGCAGGAGGTGTTTATTGAACGAGTGTGCACTCGGGTGACAGCAATCTCAGGGAAAGCTGCACCCCCCCAAAGGGTTCAGGCTCTTTTTTATAGAGAAAGACCGCAATCAGCATACATGCATGGGGCACAAGGTGACTGATTACAAAGTATGATCTCATGTTTGAGAGATTACCAGGTATGACATGTTCTTCTTCAAAGGAAAAACCATAGAATGACTTGGAAAGTCCCCAGACTGTCCATTGGCCAGGTGTGAACCAGACAGGACCATTCATCTGGAACCATTTGTTCCAGGGTTGGGGCCTATTTCCTTGCTATGGGCCAAGACCTGTGAAAAACTTCTTATCTTTATTTTTCTTGACAAACTAAAGTCTTTCATACTCTGGCTTTCCCTTGGATGTACATTTAGAGCCTTCAGTTATTCCACAAAGGTTTGATGATTCAGTAACTAGCCCTATTTATCAAGATCAGCCTAACATATAACCACTAGCCCCATCAACATAGTAACCTTTCTTGTTCTCATAATTGCTGATCTTTCCACCCATGCCCATGTCCATTCTTTGTGATTTTCTATGTTTTGCTTGCAAGAACTATTCTCCTGCCCCTTTCCTACATCCTTGCTCTGCAAACTAAAGTCTTTCAATATTGACTTGGAATGCTAAGAAGCTCCTAGGAACTTAAGAGTAAACATTTCTATAAAGAATTTGACTCTCTGTGGTTATCTTGAAAGTTTGGATCCCTAGAACTCAGGTAAATACCTTCATGGTGTATGGGCCTCTCTTCTGAGCTATACGGCAGGACACTCACCCTTGTGGGATGCCTAGTATCTGCTCTCCTTCCCATCATCTTTATCCTATTGTGCATCCTTCTTAGTACAAACTGTACTTTTCTAGTCTACAATATCATCATTTTCTACATTCCCTTACTGTGGGGGGCTATCTTTGTGGGGCTGCAATCTTAGGCAGCTGACTTGCCCATGGTTTGTACCTGAAAGAGGGAGTATGGATT